CGTCACATTTAGTTTTACAAACACCAGATCTCCTGTTGCCCCTTTTCCGTACCAAATGGAATAACTTCCGATGGTTACCTATGGGAGCGACAACTTCCATCTCTGACTCACGATGAGACCACCAGGATTTGTCGTCTCTCTCCCAACTGGCATCCAGTTTTGCCATGTGGTCTTTGCGAGTCCCATTATGTTCGCTTCCAGTCGGAATGTTCCGACGAGCATCGTTAACCTCTAGAGACTGCGAAGAGACCCAATTTTTGTTGACTATTGAACTTACCACCGGTGGCTTTACTTGCTGTCTTTTAGGTCTGGTGAACCTGCGACCATTGACCTTCAACTGTAATCGCTGAGCGATTACTCAACGCGAATGCCAGCGTATGTCGATACGCATTCAGAACACCTGGCATCGCCAGTGGGCTGGTGTCTATGGGCACACATGGTCGTCGTCAGAATACACTAGCAGATCAGTCCATACAAGTACATGTTTAGTGTTCACACATGTGCTCCAACTCGAGCGGCAGTTTTGGACGCAGCCTCTCCATCTGTGACTGATCTCAATATGATCGATTTGCGCCCATGGTTCGAGACTGGTGGGCACCATGTCACCATCCGGCGGGTGCTGTGTTGGAAGTTAGTGCTCGCAGGAAATACACGGGCACCTTCACACAAAAGATGTAATCGCTTACCGTTATCATTACGGGAGCCTTCACCATGTTGGCTGTTCAGTTGCAGTTCATCAGAGGACAATATTTCAGCTTGAGCGTTCAGTTTCCCAGCTAGCACTACAGTGTCCATGCTCCTTCTGTGGTGAAGGAACTCGTTCGTTTGGCGATAGAAGTCGTCTTTTTCCCAGCCATTGCTACAGTTTGTGGGGGCGTTGGCACTTTTGACTCTCAAAGTACAAAGTACTGTTGCAGAACTGAACAGACACACTTCCGGTTGTAGCTTATCGAACAGCCACTGGAAGTGGTGGATCGGTTCACTTACCTTGATACCTGTGTCACCTCTGGTGGTCACATCACTGAGGAAGTTACTTTGCGTATGAATAAGACCCGTGTGTCTTTCCAAAGACTCTACCATCTATGGAGACGGCGGGACATCAGTCTGTCTGTGGTAAGGCCGATCTTATTGTAAGGATCGGAAGCGTGACCAGTTCGCGGCGAAGACATTAAACGCTTGGCCGTGTTTGAGCACCGCTGCTTGCAGAGTATTGCTCACGTCTGGTGGGAACACCGGGTGAGCAATGCTGAGGTCCGCCGGTTGATTTTTGGCAAGAACCCGTCTGATGCCTCTCGAGTGTTTGCTGAATCGTATTCGCTTACATTGGCCAGGCCATATCTTCCATTTGCCCGTTGACCGGATTCCCCAACTTCCATTATGCACCGTCATAGCCCCATGTTCGATAAAACCGCGAGGTGGCCAGTTCATGACGTGGCATAGAAGCATGAAGAAATTGGTTGAAAGACTTGGTCAGGCTGGCACATGCCCTCTTCGTGTATGGGGGCCTCGGGATTGCCCTCATCAGTGCTTGGGGACCGTATCATTCGTAACGCAGTCCCGCAGTCAGCGGCCTTCTTACATTCGGTTTCTTGCATCTGGTTGTTAATTTTCCTTATATTCTGCTCAGTCTAACGTGCATCTTTCCTGCTTCCGATTTCTTTACACTCTATTTGCATTCAACCTCCTTATCTTATCGCTGTTAGTTATTGTTATTCTTTCGATGTGAGTCGTGGCAACTGGATCCACTGCACTTCAGTGCTCGGATCATTGTTGTTCAGCTGAACTGTGAAAGCCAGATTTGTGAGGAGCAAGCCGGATTTCGTAAAACTCGCGGCTGCATTGACAGCATCTTCACCTTGCCTCAATTGTTGGAGCACCGACATATTTATCAGTGACTCACCGGAGTCATGTTCCTAGATATAAAAGGTATCAACAGCACGCCGGTACGCGGTACCGACGCTTCGCAGCCGCGCAACCACCACCAATCGAGCATGGGCTAAGGATACTGTGAGGTTCGCCTGGTCCCATGCGCAGGCTCGAACTTGCGTCCTCGGACTATAAGACAGGGTTGTGCCCCTTTAGGCCACGGGTCGGCAGGTACTGTCAATACCGAGGTCACGCACATTCGGGAAGATAAACATGGTTGAATGTTCAGTTAAGTTTAGCTAAATGTTTTGTATATTGCGGCTTATCAGCTGCTTATCCGCGTCGAAAATTTTCCCAGACAAGACGAGATTCATGTTGTATGGAATAGACCGGGTGGGTTGTTATAATGATTTCGCTCAACTAACACACAGAGCGGCGGATATGCTAGCCCAACAGTAAAAGGCGTCGGTAACCATAGATCGTCATTACCGAAAAGCATGGTGATTGTCTACTAGTCAGCGCAATCGATTAACTACGATTGCACACTAAGTCTCCTTACATGTCCCAACTTTCTTTCTGTATGCCTTGTAAATCTATACGTATTATGCACCATATGAACGTTCCCTTTTCACATTATGGGGCTTACTTCCTTGCTGCTCTTTTCGCTTGTTCGAGCCACTATACGCATATTCGGTTATTACTTCGTATACAGGTTACTACAAGTTTTTCTTGGTTTACTGACTATTGAGAATAGAGAGCGCGAAGATAAAAGTCTGTGTGTTGCTTCATCGTAGGTGGATCGGGCACATGCGCGGAATCATGTCGCTGATTCCTGCGCGGTGGCAGCATATTCTAGCTGCACTACATCTATTCGGATGTGATACGCTCCCTATACCTGTAGTCCGCAACGTAAACGTCAAGGAATCTCTTAAATTCCGACACCGATTTTGCCTCGACTAGCGTCTTCTGCAATTTGCTCCAATATTTCACCAATCGACGCTCGAAGCCTAGAACGTGAGCGATCCGCTTTAAATCCGGTAAGACTAGTTTGTACCGGTGTCCGTGTGTGCTGGTCGCTGCGCGAACGTGCAGCAGCGTCCTCAGCTGAAAAACATTTGATTTACGTACACCCTTACCCGGCCAGTAACTTAGAGCTAACGAACTGGTCTCACAATCTTGCGGCGCGAGTTCGAGCCTGCGTAGGGGCAGGGCGACCATCGCAATATGCATAGTCAACGTGCGACCGGTGGTGGTTGAGCGGCAGCGAAGTGTCGGTACTTCGTACCGGCGTACTGCTGATGCCTTACCAATCTTTGCGCGGTTTTCGGAGTGTTCGATGTGTCTGTTTTCTTCTTTCCATTCTAAGTCCTTGATACATTAGTCATTAAGTGTTTCAAAATTCGGTTTTTATATTCATCTCAAGGAAAGCCTTTAGAAGTCGACTGCTCAGTGATGAATCTCACAATGATACCTGACTTATTACAATGTAGTCAGACCAGTCATCAAACCCAAAAGACATTTGGTGGACTGAGTGTTCACTGAGCTCGGCAGGTTGACTGCAAACGTTTCGTCACCACTCGAGGTGACATCGTCAGTGCGCGTGTAATTAGCAGAGTGGCGCGTACGAATTGTCCACTTCGTTTGCAGTCAACCTGCCGAGCTCAGCTCAGTCCACCAACTGAACAACCTGAGCTACCAACATTTGCTTCCATATCCCAAAAGACATTGCTCTATTTTCGTTCAGTTGCATCAGAATTCTACAAGAAACCTCGCTACTTTCTCGACTATGTGTCAGGCTTTCGGCTGTTAGTTTTGCATTTCATCTTGTTTATCTCCCTTCATACGTCCAACTATGTATGCAACTGCTGCTTGTGTAATTTCATGTTGAAGCAAGCAACGGATATCTCCTCCAATCTGCATCGTGTTTCCGGTTACTCAACGGCTTGACACTTGCCTCGTTGCAAATCGCAATCCCCTTCGAGTTTGCGCTTCTCAAGAGAACTGCTCAATGTTTAGATCAGCTAAAGTTCCATGTGTCTGTGAACTTACAGCTTGTGGTCACTGACACCTCGGCATGACGGCCCAATGATCCTATCTTCTGATCTAAGAGGTTTTCACTTTACAGCGGTGGACGAGTGGTGTTCAGGTTACTGGTGCGTGCCTCGCAGTGTTTCTAGTCCCCACGCGACCCGTGGTTGTTGCAAGGTGGCGAAGCATCGGTGCGAGGTGCCGGTGTTGCTACTGTTGTCTCTTTCGCTGTCTTCTTTCTTTTACCTTATCTCACTATACTGGTCTGGAACGCATTACTAGTTTCCGGTTTGTTCACAGTCATACGACCATGGCTTGTTGCATCGATGCAGTTACATTTTGTTACCCGTTAACCTCTGTACATGTCTTTCTTTGGCCTCACCATTTCCATCATCGTTAATAACGCTTGTGAGTCACTTAACAGCAGTGTGTCAAACTCCTGATTGAACAAAATGGTGGCGGGTGTTTTTCCACGAGATCGAACACACGTGGTGATTACATCTTGTTGAATAGTTGTTTACTTTACGCTTTTATTGTGTCAACCTCGTTGATTCAGGTACTTTTCACATCTAACGCTTCGTTCTCGTTCGTTACACTTGTGAGCGCATTTTTCACGGTTCTACTGCGTCTTATCAACGTGTGTCGTTTTTTACCACACCACAAGTGTCTGCCTCTATGCCCTTTCCATCTTAACTCATACCTAAGCTGAATTATCACAGTCAACGGATTCTTTAAAGCCCATTTTTCCTGTATTTCCAATACCACTTTGAGTCAGGGACGTTTGGAGTTATTATATCAAGAATCAGCCAGCGAGACTGCTTGACATTCATAGCTAGCCAATAAGGGCGAATGACAAACTTTAGGAATTTCTGGTAGCGAGACAACGTTCTCTAAGGTCTCAGGCTCATCGATATAACCAGAACTATTTCGTTGAAATATGGCGTTCTATCTCGGGCCGTTGTTGATGTTTGCTGCGAGGATTTTCGCCTTTGGTTCTGAATAGTTGACTGAGTCGAATCTGCCAACGACCTATCATATCAACCGTATTGTTGGCCGAATTATGACAATTACGTCAACTCTTTCTCACAATACACCCGTTGCTGCATATGCTGCACTTTTACTTTTCAGCTCGCATAGAATTCCACCTAACTTGTTGCACTACTCTCCTTACCGTCGATGTCTTCATTCTGCATCTCCCGCTTACCTCAGAGCTTGGACTTTCAACAGATTCCCCCGTCTTTCGGAGGGGACAAGCCCTCCTCCCTGTGCCACTTTTATCTCGGTGGCTTGGTCCCTCGGACAAACTGCTGGTCTGTCCACATGAGCACCTTAAGCCTCCTCCTGGTCAAGGTACTGTACATGTGGTATCTGGTCGGTACACTTACAAGCATTATCTGCAGGTAAAGCTCATCCAGTCTTGCATCTATTCCGTGCTCATGGTGTGCGATATTATTCCTTTCCACTATACTACGCAGTGTTTGGTGGCAATCCCTTGTTCTAGCAACTTTTCCTAGGAGCTTCGCCTCTACTGTCTTCAGTTAGACTCTCCACAAATTTGGAATAGCTTTAGAGGGTCATTTCGTCACTAATGAGATCAGTCAGCATCATTTGTTCTCACTAACCTCCTTGTATTCAATACACAACTGTCCATTTTGAAAAAATCTCTTTCTACTGTTGGCCGGTGGATGACAGTTACTTATGTAGCCACGCCATTAGCCGTGGTATATCGCATCTCATCTTCCGTTGCAACGAGACTGGACCTTAACGTGGTGCGACGGTTTGCGTACCTCAATGACCCATTGAGCTATACTGGGTGATGCCTCCGGGCACCTTGAGAGTTACTCCTACCAGGTTGGTCAATGGTGAGAGGTCAGACAAACTCAGTCTCCTGGTCCTCCAGGTTGGGGTTTGAAGTGGGATGGCGTCCATTTCTGTAAAACTAAATCATTGCCACCTCCCCGCTGCCTTGCGGACAGGCTTTTGAGCCAAAGGCTTTGGGTGAGGACCCTAATCGTCCTCCTGTCTAGGTCTGGGCGCCCTGGCAGTATCTCAGCCCACATAAAACCATGACATTTTCTTCACACATGAACTTCATCCTGCATCGGCCGTCGCGCAGGTTATCAAGGGTCGCCTTATCTGCTGCATACAGCAGGGCGGATAAGCGAAAATATGCTACTGCTGGCGCCTCTCTTCTTTCTTTTCCACCTGTTTCTCTTACTCCCACCTCGCCCCCCATTACTAACCTTCCTTCTATAATTCCCAGCTTCATTAACAGCAACCGAAGTGCCACTGGTGTAGAACCATCTGTAGCCACCATCCCACAGCATCTATCGGACGCCTATCGGCAAAAGCTCCTTATAAGGCCACGCTGTCCCGTTTCCATGGCGACATTCAACGTCCGCACTCTAAGACAAACAGGTCAGCAGGCTGCACTCGCACGCACCTTGGACACACTGGGTGTTGATGTGTGTTGTGTGTCCGAAACTAGGATTAATGACCCTAACGGGGTTATTGAATTAACTGCACCCGGCTTATCCTCTCGTTATCGGTTGCACGCATCCGGAGACGCCAATGCAGCACTCACGGGTCAAGCTGGTGTAGGTACTATTCTAAGCTCCAAGGCTGAGTCATCGTTGATTGATTGGATTCCGGTGAACAGCCGTTTATGTGCAGCCCGTTTGACGACATCAGTTAAGGTTGATCCACGAAGTAGTACAAAACGCTTTGTTCATGATTTCCGCTTATGCTCTCACCGACTGCAGTTCTAATGCAGTCAAGGACACATTCTATCACGAACTGAACGCGCTACTACGCAGTGCTACTACTTCAGCTATTGTAGTACTTGCAGGAGATATGAACGCACAAGTAGGGTGTCTGAGCTCTTCAGAAGCTCAGCTGGGTGGTAAGTATGGACTTAACTCCGAACGGACTGACAACGGTGAGCGTCTGCTGCAACTGTGTGCGGAGCGGCAGTTGTTTCTTAGTAACACTGCTTTTAGACACAGTGGGCGCCGAAGTGCCACTTGGCGTCCTCCTGTAGCTGGCCAGCGATGGACCCAAATTGACCACATAGCCATAAGTTACAGGTGGCGCGGTTCCATCCTAAATTGCCGCTCCTGCTGGAGTACCTGTGTCGACTGTGATCATGCCTTGGTACGCTGTCGTTTCTCCATGAACTTTACCAGTAGGCACACCAAGTGTCCCCTACGATTGGCAACTGAGAAATTGTCTCATTCCTCGGTCAGGCAAGCCTATCAAGACGCACTGTATACCGAACTTCCGCTGTCTTGTCCTAATGACACTGAGCTTCAGTGGAATAGGATCTCGGCTGCCATGCACGACACAGGCATCTGCTTGTGTCGTTATCCATCGTCACCGCATTAGTCGCTGGATATCCGAGAGGTCGGTGAACTTGTTGGAATCTAGAAAACACCTCATGGCTGGCTCTGAACACAATGTGACCAGACGGGCTATTAGGCGTGAACTAAAGCAGAGCCTACGCGCTGACAATGAAGCCTGGTGGACCAGTCGGGCTCAAGAAATGGAGAAGGCAGGAACAGTTGGCAATTACCGCAAGCTCTTCCGTTTGATCCGCACCTCTGGTTCTAGGAAACCAGGCGTCAGTGAGACAATCAGAGACAGTGCGGGTGCGCTGATACACAATAAGGAGCGCCGTATTGCTCGTTGGGCGGAACACTTTCCAGATCAGTTCAGCTGGCCCCCTGATCCCGGACCTCTTCCTACTCAGGTGATGCAGGACGTGCCATGGACGGTTAGTTTAGAGCCTCCGTCGGAGGCCGAGGTCCGAAACGCGATCACAGCCCTTAATCGTTTTCGTGCCGTTGGCCCGGATTTCCTCCCACCTACACTATTTGGGGATGGAAGTGAGATCCTCTGCAAGGCACTGACAACTGATGAGTCCTAACCTGGACGAAACCGCGGTCTTGGGGTGCCAGTGTTGAGATGAGCAACACTATAAAAATGTTTTCTTTACTTACGGTCTTTAAGATCGGGATGACCGAGGTCCACCCCAAGTGAACCGTGGTCTCAATAGAGGTTGCTTGTAGCAACCCAAGCACCAGCGGATTCTCCAAGTCCACCTTTGAATTCGTTTCCGCTGGACCAAGCGTTGCTCGCGGATCTCAGTGGCATAGTGCTCATGGTGTCAACCATGAGCCACTAGGCTCTGAGTTCCAGCCCAACTCAGGCTATCTCCAACTGATGAGTCCAAACCAGGACGAAACCGCGGTCTTGGGGTGCCAGTGTTGGGATGAGCAACACTATAAAAATGTTTTCTTTACTTACGGTCTTTAAGATCGGAATGACCGAGGTCCACCTCAAGTGAACCGAGGTCTCAATAGAGGTTGCTTGTAGCAACCCAAGCACCAGCGGATTCTCCAAGTCCACCTTTGAATTCGTTTCCGCTGGACCAAGCGTTGCTCGCGGACCTCAGTGGCATAGTGCTCATGGTGTCAACCAGGAGCCACTAGGCTCTGAGTTCCAGCCCAACTCAGGCTATCTCCAACTGATGAGTCCAAACCAGGACGAAACCGCGGTCTTGGGGTGCCAGTGTTGGGATGAGCAACACTATAAAAATGTTTTCTTCACTGACCTCCTTATTCGAATGTATCTGGTAAGAAGAGTGTCCCGGCCAATTTTAGCGAATCGATTATAGTGGCAATATACAAGAAGGGCAGTCGCACAGACTGTTCTAACCACAGAGGTATTAGCCTAACGCCAGTTGGGACAAAATTATTGGCATCGATTATCGTTCGTCGCCTCACTGCGGAACGGGAATCTCGGATTAGGGTAGAGTAGGCCGGTTTCCGCCCAGGACGTGGCTGTATAGACCATATATTCACTTTGTTGCAGCTGCTAGAGCGTCGCCACGCATACCGCTGATCGACAATAGCTGTGTTCCTCGATTTCAAGAGTGCGTTCGATTCAGTCGATCGATCGATTCTGTTCGAAATACTTGCGCGGAAAGGTGTTCCCACGAAATATGTGAACATCCTTCGTGCTCTATACTCGAACACTAGAGGCCGCGTCAGGGTCCACGGTGGCCTATCGTCTAGCTTTCCGACCACAAGTGGCGTTCGTCAGGGTTGTCCGATTTCTCCATTTTTGTTCAATTTCGTCGTGGATTCTATCATGGAGTGCTCCCCTTTCGGAATCTCACGATGTAGGCGTTGAAGTGCTGCCTGGTGAAAGGTTAGTTGATCTAGATTATGCGGACGATATCGTCTTGCTTTTCGACGATGTTGGGGCGGCACACTCAACCCTGAATAGCCTGTCCAGTGTGGTCCCCATTTTTTGGCATGCACTTCGCACCTTCAAAGTGCAAAGTGTTGCTGCAGGACCACCAGCCATTTGATGACCCCTTGACGCTTGCCAACGAGGAGCTCGAGGTGGTTGATCATTTATCTTGACAGCTGCATCAACAATGATGGGCGCATAGAAACTGACGTTAGCTCACGCATTGCAAAAGCCAGAGCTGCCTTCTTGAACCTGCGGCATCTTTGGCGACAGAAGGGAGTTTCCCTCCTTCTGAAACGCCGTGTATACAAGGCCACAGTGAGGGCCGTTCTGCTGTATGGTAGTGAGACTTGGCCCCTTCGGTCTGAAGATCTGAGGCATCTTCAAGTCTTCATCTTTGTCTGCGTAACATTGCTGGTGTCGGATGGTACCAGCGTGTCCGCAACAATGATGTGCGTAGGCGAGTACTAGGTGGTGATAATCATGCTAGCTCCCTAGAACAACAGATAGCACTGAATAAGTTGCTTTGGCTGGGGCACATGCTACGTATGCCTGGTCACCGCTTACCTAGGAGGGCCTTGTTTAGTCTGCCAAGTGTAGGGTGGCGCAAGGCTCGAGGTGGACAGAAGTTGACTTGGCAGCGGGAAGTGAAATCATTGACGACCAAACTGGGTGCCGTTGGTCCGTCTCGCCTTCCGGGCTGGAGTCCACGTGACTCGCTTTGTGCTTGGCTCGAGACTTTGCAGGACATGGTTCGCAGTAGACACCAGTGGCGCGTCTGTTGCCGTCTCCTAATTGGATTGCCTGTTTAAAGTGTGTTTGGTGCTGAGTTATCTGCGGGGTAATGGCTGATTATGACGCGTGACAGTGAAAGCCGCAAGGAAGCTGTCTCGCCTATGCCACCTTATCTTTGCACGATAGCCAGCTGTTTGTGACGGTATGTTGTCTACACAAGGTGTAGGCGCCTTGACCCTGAATGTTTGCTTAGGGCATTAAGGTTTTCAGGTAAGTCCCCCTTCTCTCCCTCTTCTTATTCTTTATTTCATAAGTCCTCATGGTTGTATGGCAGCGAAGCATCAGTTTAAATGGCTGATGTACTGCTGTTGATGATGATCCGTTGCTTTTCAACTTACTGTGTCATTAG